GATACAAATTTTTAAACTATTTATGTCCTAGAAATTTCTTTCTTCTTCAATCATGAAAGAGAATTTTGCTGAATATATTTTTTGTTGGTTGGATGTTGTAGTCTTTTATGACTATGCTTCAGGCTCGTCTGACTTTCAGTTTCCATTGAGAAATCAGCTGTTATTCAAAATGGTGTTTCATTTATGTGTAAAAGTCACTTTTATTATCCCCGGATGGAGGGATAAGATGGGAGCCATACCCAAGCTGTATGAATACATGGATTGGGCTAAGCCCAGAGCATTCCTTTCTCTGTTCTAACTATCCCAAGCCTGGGCCTCGAAGCTTCTAGCCTCTGTACAATAGAATCTTCCAAGCTGACTGATTCAATCTGGCTTCTCTCAACTTCTCACTGAACTGCTCTGCTTGACCTCATACTAACTTTGGCAATATGTTCTAATCTTCTGGATCATTCTCATTCTCTGGTTTGTTCTGTCTTCACCTGTGTCTGACTTGTTCTCTCTGTGTCTGTAAAACTGTCCCAGTAAAACTGCCACAAACACCCTCTCCCTGTGCTTCTCTTAAGTAGCTTCTCTTTCCTGTGTTGTTCTCATAAGGATTGGTCATATCCTATCTCTGACATATTCTGTCAAATCTTCTCTGATTCATCACTTTGTTGGCCCCACAATTAGATGTCACTTTCAAACATGTCTGCTTTCTTCTACAAACTAACCTTACCTTCATTGTTAAGGATTAAACATTCGTGCTAAGAGTGTGTCTGTAGTCTAGCTATATCATACTGTATGTATTCCAGAGCATGTCTGTATTCCAGCCAGATCATGTAGACTCAGATCTTTGGATATGATCCCTTACCAGAGCAGCCATGTTGCTAGGTTAAAATTCCTCTACATATGTGACTTGTGGTATCTTTTTTCTTCTAGCTTTCAATACACTTTCTTTGTTATGGATACTTAATATTTTTTCTTTTTCTTATTAGGTATTTTTTATTTACATTTCAAATGTTATCTCCTTTCCCAGTTTTCCCTTGGAGTGCCCCTATCTCACCTCCCATTCCCCTGCTTCTATGATAGTGGTCCCCCACCCACCCACTCCTGCCTATGATATTTTATGTGGTTTTCTTTTCTAGACTTGTCTTTTCAGGGTTCTGTGTGCTTTTTGTATTTGAATGGGTGGGTCTTTCCTTAGTTTTAGAGAGTTTCTTCTATGACCTTGTTGAAGTATCTGCTCTATGCCCTTGACATGGGGTCATTCCTCTTCATTTTTGCCTATAATTCAAAGCTTTGTTTTTGGTTTTTGTTTTTTCATGATATCTCATTTTTTCCTATGTTTTTCCTGTGGAAAAGGTGAAGAAGTGAAGATGTCATGGTACTTACCAGGCTAGACCCTGGAGGAGGATTTGGAAAGTCTAACTATAGGCTGGGAAGGTGTGGTTGATGCAAAGTATCCCCTGGGCAGTTGTAGGCAGCTGGTCTCCACAGAAGCATCAGTGTAGGCTATGGCACACAACATTACACCTATGGATCCAAATGGCACTTTCATCTCAAAGTAATGAGTAGAATTTCCTAGACCCTTGGAGAATAATATTGATTCAATGCAACATAGGGTGCCCGGTCATTGGGCCAGTCATACACTTAAGGTTACATTGGCCAAGCTGCGTCAGAACTGGCACCTGCTGCTCTCATCCACACTGCAGCTGACCTCAAAGACAAATGCCATCGGAACTCCCTTAGCGCCATTTACTATTAAACAAATGGCAGATAACACTGAAGCTACATAGATATACAAACCTAAATAGAGATAGGACTTCACTAATATGAATCAGGGAATTAGAAATACTAAATGGCCTAGAAATCATGGTTCCCTCAGGTAGGTCTAACTTAATTTGAAGAGGATCTTTTTAAATATCAATAACTAACTGCAAATTATGAGCCTTTTTGAACAACATTGCTAATTCCTTTAATTAAATACACCAGAGTAAACAGGAAAAAAGAATCAAGACTCTAGTGAAGTTCCTACTGCTCCTGCTAGGAACAAGGTCCATAAAGCCTCTTCAAGAAAACAAAGTCAAAGAAGGACATTTGGACAGTAAATGAGTAGTCTGTCTGTCCTGTCATCCTGTCTGTCTGATCATCATCAGAAGAGAACTCTTCTGATGGTTCGAGCTTCTCACGTTTTAACTTTGTTTAAGTTTGAAATCCTGATTAGTGCAATTGCAATGTGAGAAGCAACTTGTCCTTTCAAGAAGCCTGTCTGCCTGACCATCTTGGGCATTGGAGACCACAGATAGTAAGTCTATGTTTTCAGGGCTATATAACTTGCAAATGTCAGTGTTTGTTCAGAGTTTATATAATAATTACATATGCTTTAAAATGTTTTTACAATTGGAAGAAAATAACGTGTAGTAGATCACTTTGATGATATAAGAAGTATTTGTTTTAATAACAAGAAGTTTCAATACCCAATCAGGTGTCACCAGTTTTGCTCAGCTGCTGCCAAAGTGCTCTGATTTTCTGAGGAAGCTGAATCCCTTGCTTTATCCAGTTCCTAGCACTGCACCAGCCAGTTCACATAACAGCCTTGGGTTTTAACTTGTCTATATCCACTCTTCCCTCATGCTGCACAAAGACGAGATGACCCACACTGAGAATGATATCAAGCATCTAGTTTCAATGCTGAACCTTCTGGGCCTGACACTTTCGAAAGCTCCCTGGCCATTGTTAACACTGAGAGCTTCATGTGCAGTGTTGAGGCTGGTAAACTACTCTACTGGTTCCACACCAGCAATCAGTCCTGACCACTCCACCACCACTGCCACAGCTGAGAAGTGGTAAGAAAAAACAATGAGTCTGATGATGACATTAGTCCTTTTTTACTAAAACTCTGTTAGGATACTTAATAAAAAAAAAAAAAGCTAAACTGGAAGAAAATAAAAGTGTCTCCACCCAGCCAGAAGCATACTCATAAAATAGACTTCATTCCAACTCCTCTAAAGAATAACTTTTTTAAAAAAAATGTCTTGGGGAAATTTTTAGCCACCAAAAGGGGCACCTACAAAAGCAGAGCCCTATACTAAGGCACCTTCAGTTTCCTTTCCTTATTTTGAACTAAAATCTCATGGCTCAAGCTGAGCATGCCTTTAGTCAGTCCTGTCTACCACATCAATACTCTGCATTAGCTTCTTGAGCTGTTAGTTCTTCCTTGAGGTTCTGCTAGAATTGTACAGTAAATACCTATGACATGAGAATTTAACTTGGATGATTTTTAAATTGTTACTTCAATTTTGTTAGTTCTTACAGGTTTATTGGAATTACTATTTCTCAACTGGTTTAATTATACTGTGTATATATTTCTTTTAGATTTTCCAATTTGGCAGAACATTGATTCTTGAGATGTATTTCATGGTTTTATGATTTCTGTTGCTCTCTCTTGTAATGGATGCCCTTTTAATATCTAATTTTATTCACTTGTGTCTTCTCTGTCTGTCATGGTTAATTTGGCAAATACTTTGTCAAATTATTTTACTTTTTATATTTTCTTTTTTTTTTTGAAGTGATTTTACCTTTATTTCTTATTTCCTTCACTTTAAGCTAATCATTAAATTTCACAGTGATTTCTGGGGTGGAGCAGAAGGAAGGCATCATTCAGAATGATGGAGGCCGGCCTGGTTGGCCTCACTGGGGAAGCTGGAGGAGCACGGACTGGCCCGCCGGCAGGTAGGTGATGTTCCGAGAGCGAGAGAGCTGGTAGGCAATGTCCTCGGCAGCTTCCAGCTTCCGCAGCTCGATCAGGCCGTCCCCGGCGGTGGCCAGCAAGTTGGCGATCAGCTCAGCTGCCTTGGAGTCACCCTCAGCAGAGATGATGGCTGCCTTCTTCTGCTGCTCAGCCTTTTCCACCACGAATCTGGCTCTCTCTGCTTCCTGGTGAGCCACCTGCTTGGCTTCTACTGCCTCTGTGAACTCCTTCCTGAAGGTCAGATGTGCCAGGGACATGTCATCCAGGATGAGCCCAGATGTTGCTGCTCTCTCTGTGAGGTCATCGCTCACCTGCCTGGAGACCAGCTCTCGCTGGGTAATCAATTCTCCAGCATCGAACCGAACCACCACAGACTTGAGGATCTCTGTGGTGATAGATGGCAGCACTCGCTCATCATTGTCCTCGCCAATGCTGGTGTAGATACGAGGGAGCTGGCTGGCCACCGGCTGGAAGAGGATGCGCAGTGTGATGTTGACGTTCTGTAGGTCTTGGCTACCAGTGATGACCGGGACATTCCGTGGTCGAGAGCGGCAGTCAAAGATAATTGGTTTCTGTACCCAAGGGATGAGAAAGTGAGTCCCTTCCCTGTATGTATTCCCACAATGTCCTGTACGCCACGGAATTGGTCAAAGATGACAGCTCTGTGTCCAGCATCCACATTATATAGAGCAGAGTTCACCACGCCTCCTGCAACTGCTAACGCCAGGCCGAACTTTGCGATGGACTCAAACACTTTGGCAGCCATGACTCCTTCTGTTGCTTCCACTCACACCTGCTTTCACTCTGACCTCCACATGACCTCCCCAGACCTGCATACTGCCTACTTTTTATATTTTCAAAGAACTTTTTACATTTTACATTTTATCTGTATTTTCAAAGAACTAATTATTCAATTCAATTGATGCTTTGTAGTTTTTTGGCTTGTTTGTTTATTTATATTTCATTATTTCTGCCCTGACCTTAATTATCTTTTTCTATATACTACATTAGGGGTTTTGTTTGTTTGCTTCTTCAGTGTGCATCTTTACACACTTACAATGCTCACTCAGAGTTGTTGATGTGAGCACTTACAGCTATAAGCTTTTCTCTTAGGACTGTCTTTATTGTACCTCATGGGTTTGAATATATGAGATTTCATTTTTATTAAACTCTGGGCATTTTCCCCTTCTTTTTAATGGTCTATATCGTTCAAACATATTGTTTAAGATCTATGAGTTTGGACCCTGCCCGAGCTGCGGCTGCCAGCGACATGTTCAAGGTAATTCAGAGATCTGTGGGGCCAGCCAGCCTGAGCCTGCTCACCTTCAGAGTCTATGCAGCACCCAAAAAGGACTCGCCTCACAAAAGTTACATGAGGACTGATGAGCTTTCACTCTACTCAGTTCCTGAGGGTCATTCTAAGTATGTGGAGGAGCCAAGGACTCAACTTGAAGAAAACATCTCACAACTCCGACATCGTTGTGAGCCATATACAAGTCTGTGTCAGGAAGTATACTCCCATACTAAACCCAAGGTGGAACACTTTGTCCAGTGGGGAGTAGACAACTATAACTATCTTCAAAATGCACCTCCTGGATTTTTCCCAAGACTCAGTGTTATTGGTTTTGCTGGTTTTGTTGGACTCCTTCTTGCTAGAGGTACAAAAATAAAGAAGCTGGTGTATCCTCCTTTTTTCATGGGATTAGGTGCCTCTGTCTATTACCCACAACAAGCCATCACCATTGCCCAGGTCACTGGGGAGAGATTACAAGGATACATAGTCCTAGAAGACTTGTGGAAGCAAAATTTTCAGAAGCCAGGAAATGTGAAGAATTCATCTGGAAATAAATAGAAAACTCCGTACTCTGCCTATTTTAATCAGTTATAGATAAACATTGGAAGCTCCAGACGGTAAATCAGTATTTCTACAGACAAATGCAGAATCAGTATTGGATATAGTAAACTGGCTTTCTTCAGGAAAAACAACGCTAAGCCTTTTTGCTGTTTGGGGTGATGCCATATTACAGGCCGAGTAATCTGCAATCTTTCACATGGAAGTAATGTACAAGCCTTAGAACTCCTAATTCTTATGTCACTATTTATGTTCATAATTAAAGCCCAGATTCCAACAACAACAAAAAAAGATCTATGAGTTTGTGCACTACCTGTATTTTTTATTTTTTGTCAGTAATTTTATTTCTTAACATTTCAAATGTTACCCCCTTCCCAGTTTCCCCTCTGCAAACCCCCATCCCATTGCCCCTCCTCCTGCTTCTATGAGGGTGCTCCCCCCACTCACTCACCCACTCCAACCTCAACACCCTAGCATTCTCCTACCGTGGGTCATTGAGTCTTCACAGAACCAAGAGTCTCTCCTCCCATTGATGCCAGATAAGGGCATCCTTTGCTACATATGCAGTTGGAGCCATGAGTCCCCTCATGTGTACAATTAGATTGCTGTTTTAGTCCTTGGGAGCTCTGAGGGATATGGTTGATTGATATTGTAGTTCTTCCTATGGGGTCACAAACCCCTTCAGCTCCTTCAGTTCTTCCCCTAACTCCTCCATTGGGGTCCCCACGCTCAGTCTGATGGATGGCTGTGGGCATCCACATTTGTATTTGTCAAGCTTTGGCAGAACTCTCAGGAGACATCCATATCAAGCTCCTATCAGCAAGCACTTCTTGGCATCAGCAAGCGTCAGGGTTTGGCAGCTGCATATAGGATGGATCCACAGATGGGGCAGTCTCTGGATGGCCTTTCCTTCAATCTCTGCTCCACTCTTTGTGCCTGTATTTCCTTTAGACAGGAGCAATTCTGGGCTAAAAAATATTTGAGCTGAGTGGGTGGCCCAATCCCTCAACCAAGGGCCGTGCCTAACCTCTGAATATGGTCTCTACAGGTTCTCTCTCCCGTTTGTTGGGTATTTCAGCTAATGCTATCCCCTTTGGGTCCTGGGAGCCTCTTGCTTTTGGGACATCTGGGACTTTCTGGTGGCTATCCCCAGTTCCCCATCCCCCACTGCTACACACCTCTGTTCAATTTCCTGACCCTTTGTACTTCTCCCCCATCCCCTCCCACGCCTAATCCTGCCCCTCTTTTTTCCTCTCCCCCTCATCTTTCCCTCCTTCCTTCTACTTCCCATGATTATTTTGTTACCCTTCTAAGTAGGACTGAAACATCCACACTTCGGTCTTCCTTCTTCTTGAGATTCATATGGCCTGTGAGTTGTATCATGGGTATTCTGAGCTTTTTTCCTAATATCCACTTATCAGTGAATACATACCATGTGTGTTCATTTGTGACTGGGTTACCTCACTCAGTAAAACTAAATGCACTGAATCTAATAGAAGAGAAAGTGGGAAAGAGCCTTGAACACATTAGCACAAGGGAAAAGTTCCTGAACAGAACACCAATGTCTTATGCTCTAAGATCAAGAATTGACAAATGGGATCTCATAAAATTGCAAAGTTTCTGTAAGACAAAGAGCACTGTCATCAGGACAAAATGACAGTCTACAGATTTGGAAAAGATCTTTACCAATCCTATATCCAATAGAGGGCTAATATCCGATATATACAAAGAACTCAAGAAGTTAGACTCCAGAGTAGCAAATAACCCTATTAAAAAATGGAGTACAGAGCTAAACAAAGAATTCTCAACTGAGGAATCTCAAATGGCAGAGAAGTCCCTAAAGAAATGTTCAACATCTTTAGTCATCAGCCAAATGCAAATCAAAACAACCCTAAGATTCCCCGTCACACCAGTCACAATGGCTAAGATCAAAAACTCAAGTGAAAGCAGATGCTGGTGAAAATGGGGAGAAAGAGGAAAACTCCTCCATTGTTGATGGGATTGCAAGCTGATACAACCACTCTGGAAATCAGTCTGGTGGTTCCTCAGAAAATTGGACATAGTACTACCTGAGGACCCAGCTGTACCACTCCTGGCATATACCCAGAAGATGCTCCAACATATAACAAGGACACATGCTCCACTATGTTCATAGCAGCCTTATTTATAATAACCAGAAGCTGGAAAGAACCCAGATACCCTTCAACAGAGGAATGGATACAGAAAATGTGGTACATTTATACAATGGAGTACCACTCAGCTATTAAAAACAATGACTTCATGAAATTCACAGGCAAATGGATGGAACTAGAAAACATCATCCTGAGTGAGGTAACCCAATCACAAAAGAACACACGTGGTATGTACTCACTGGTTTTTTTTTTGGGGGGCTGTTGAAATCTTGCTTTATTCTATGGTGGTCAAATAGATTAGAAGATTTACTTCAATTTTCCTATATCTTTTCTGAACATTTATTTTTATTTTTTATTGTGTAGGTGTGGATTTCTCTGTGTGTATGTGTTCACATGTGTGCAAATACCAACACAGGCCAAATGAGGGCATCAAATTCCTTCAGCTGTTTTTACACATGATTTCAAGTCACCTGAGTGGGAATTGGGAACCAAACTTGGATCCTCTGAAACAGCAGCAAACACATTTAATTCCAGATCCATTTCTTCAGCCCCAATGTTTTCATTCTTATTGAGATATACTTTATGTCCTAATATGTGAACCATGTTTTTGAGAACCATGTGCTGGTGAGAAGAATGTATATTCCTTATTATTCAGCAGGATGTCTCTTACATGGCTGTTAGACCAAATAAACTATTTATATACTAATACCTTTATTTGATGGCAGTGTGTTTCTTAGAGATAGACAAAATAGAGATCCTGTTTTCTAATATAATCTTCTCTCATTTTCTGGAAAATTGAGATCATTACTATACACTACTGCTATTGAAAGATGTTTTATTTTGTGGATGTTGTAAGCAGTACCATTAACTCACAGATTAACAGTGAATTAATATGGTGACTGTATTTCTTTACCTTTCCTAGTCCCCAATAACTACACAGAGAAACCAAGATTCATTTCAACCTGTACCTCAGTACCTAGGCAGTAATGATCTACCTTAATCTCCCATGCTAATCTAGGTACCTTCCAGTTTCAACCCCATGATACTTACGTATTATTATTATTGCTCTTACTCTTTGGGCTTCAGGTGTTTTTTCTCATGGTGCTTTCTTGGACACTCTCCTCATGGCCAATCTGAGTCTCCCTCCTTCTCTCTCTCTTTCCTTCCCCTGGCTGGTAGATGTTTCTGCCCTATTCTTTCTTCTGCTCAGCCATTTGGGTGATCAGCATTGATTGACAAGCCAGAGAATGAATGGTAAGAATTGTTTATACAAATTTGAGAAAGGAGATTCTAGACATAGACATTGCAGTGCCATGTCTGGAATAAAACAAGATGTGAAGGCAGAGAAATCAATATTAAAATAACACAAGGATAATCTTTAAACACAAAAACTTTATGCCTACAGAGGTACACATATTATCCAGTAGACATCTGAAGTGCTTGATGGAAGAAAACAGAAAACCTCATGTTATGTCATCTTCTTTGGAAATTAACGGCACTTTCCACAGTCCAAACCTGTGTCATTCTTTGGAATAAATGAATCACACTTTTTCAGGTGTTGACCAAAGATACTTCTGTTTTTCCAAGATTCCAAGATTCCAACAGTGTTATACAGAAAAATGTTCTTGCCGTTCATGGCTTTTGCCCAGTGATTCTCAACCTTCCTAGTTCTGTGACCATTTAATATAGTTTCCCATGGTAACCCCAAACAGAAAAATATTTTGTTGTTACTTCATAACAGTAATTTTGCTACTGTTATGAATTATAATGTAAATGCCTATGTCTTCCAATGGTCTTAGGGAATTTCTGTGAAGAGTGGTTTGACCCCTAAAAGAGTCAAAAACCCACAGATTGAGAACCACAGGCTTAGCCTAATAACTGCTTCTGTTTTCAAGGGGTCATCCTGGTGATCAACTGTCAGCCATGGAAGGATATCTTGATTCTTTGGACTTTCTCGTGTTATTGGGGCCTGTTGTCGTGGAAAGCCTCCCTATGTTTCCGCCGCGGGACCTGGAGCGACCAGCCTGCGACTGGAACAGTGAGTGACAGGAATGCAAGAACTGCCCGCTTCTTCAAACAAACCAAACGGGCTGCCCAAGTCTGCTAAGCAAGTATAACAAGCGAGCTCTCCCCGCAGGGCTCCCCCCTTGCCTCTCTCAGCACGAGTCGCGGGATCCCCACAATCTTCGTTCTCCTGCGCCCCCTCCCCGTGGTATCTGGGGGCTCTGAACGGAGATCCCCACCTAAGAGCCCTGAGCTCACACACACACACACACACACAAGGAACAAGACTGAGTGAAAATTCCCCACGCCAGGTGGTAGAGGATGCGTACAAAGCCAGCTCCAAGAGCACCCCCTCCTGGCTCCCGCATGAACCTCTCCATGGGACAGTGAGTAACCCCTGCCTAGTTCAAAAAACTTAGGCCTCTTCCTGTCTCTCTCTCTATCAAGGTTCAAAAGTCATCTACGCTGCTTCCACAAGTCAAATCAACATGCTGATCACTATTTTTCTGCTCTTAATAAGAACTAGTCTCCTTTTACAGACAAACTGTTGCTGCCTATCCCAGATACATAATTAACATGATATTTTTTCCTCTCAGCCATCCAAAAACAGACTCAAAGATACCTTCCAGGACTAATATTTCCTCAAACACCTTTGCCTTTCCAGAATCTTAACGACAGACCATGATACACTTGCTCCAGAGTAGCTTAATGCTTGCTAGCCACCCTTTGCAGACATCTCCCTGCCAGGGTGCTGCTTCCCTGCTGTGATTATCCTGCAGGTATACCCACAGATCCAACAGAGACAACACCATCTCCTGGAATCTGCCTGGGACACCAAGCTACATTCTTCCCGACACCTTCTGACTGAAGACTCCAGAGACAACGCTGAGATCCGGAGACAGTGCCACCTCCTGGAAGCTGCCTCAGACTCCAAGCTGCATTCTTAGATGCTCACGGAGTCCTAATGACAGATCCAGACTTTCCAGCTACAAATGAACTCTTTT